ATACAGTGTGTTCCAAAAGTTCAGCCCCTTCCCCCTCTAAATTTTAAACCGTTCGAGATACAAAACAAGAAACTTCTAGGGAATGTTTTTGATCTCAAAGGGTACCGTCTCCTGGGGGTGTCAAAATTTGGCCTCCCCTCCCAGATGATGGTACCCTTTGAGATCAAAAACATTCCCAAAGTTTCGTTTTTTTTATCTCGAACGATTTAAAAGTTAGAGGGGGAAGGTACTTTTTAAAAACCCTGTATGTAAAACATACGGGGCGCACATGAAAAATACATACGCCCGAAAATCAGAGGGGGGACGATAAATTTTGATGGTTTGATGAACAGCAAGCATGCGATATATCGCATCAATTGGTTCCATTTTTTCAGGTACTCGTCATTTTTCTCAAATTTTGAGATCGCAATTCTGTTGTTAGGAGACTAAAGCATTCACTTACCAATTTTAACAAAGAAATTCAACGTAATAAAGGCGCGTGGTTTTTTTAGAGAGAAAATATCTCATTCGAGTGCAGTTTCGATATCAGTATCGAATGCGATGTTTTCTCTCTAAAGAAAACCTCGCCATTATTACGTTGAATTTATTTGCTAAAATTGGCAAGTGAGTGCTTTAGTCTCCTGACAACAGGATTGCGATCTCAAAATTGGAGAAAAATGACGAGTTCCTGAAAAAATGGAACCAATTGATGCGATATATCGCATGCCGTTCTGACACAAAATATGGCGTCCATCAAATCGCTTTAATCAAAAATCGAAATAAGGGAAAATCGAAAACACGGAACCAAGAACCATGGATTCGCCTCAAAAATACAAAGACCTATAAAATCAGAAACGGGACGTGGATCTGAATGTTGATGCCAGCCCGAACACCCACGACATTGACATCGATCTTCATTATGTGAGCATTGTTCAATGTTGAGCGCCCATTAGCTGATTATCATCATTGCATACCTAGGTGGACAACAGCAGCATACTGAATTTTATGACAGGTCCCTGCCCGCTAATCACGTGCCTGATGAGCCCGAGTGCCGGCTGCTCTTATGCAACCGCTTACAAATAAATCCTACTTGCTCTTGCAAACATGACCCGGCTGGGGAATTCCCCTAGTGCGAAATGAGCAACGCAGTGTGCATTTTGCACTTCTAAATGCAAATGCAAATGAAGTGATGCAAATGCTCGAGCTGAGGCAACATAATTTTTTTTAAAGAAAATCGCGAATAAATCAACCGTTAAAATTACAAGCACGGTAAAATTACCGTGCACCGTGGGAAAAAGATATTAAAACCAGAAACACTATAAAATTGCCAGAATTACGATAGAAAATATATGGTGAACTATAACTATCGGGAAATTTGATAATCTTTCTGACTTTTTAGGTATATCCAACATAGAGAAATTGTCATGCATCCCGGCAAAAAGGAATTGTAATATCCAAGTATATAATGAAATCACTAGACGGACGTTCAAAATTTAATATGATTCCGGTGCGCAATATATGTATACCAGAATATTTGGTAATTTTACTGAATGTGTTTCAGAGGTCGTAGTTTGCAATGGAGAACGTCTGAAAGTTCCAAAAATCAATGGAAGCGGAACAACTTTGACTCAAAAATAGGTCATTACCCAAGAACATCCTCCGTCTTCCCTCGCCGAACCTTAAAAACTTATCATAATGTAGATCGACTTTCTAAGCGTTCTTGTCAGTTATTAGATGAATCGTAAAAAAAATCGTACACCGTATCGGCGACAAGCTGCACCAGACAAGTTTTTTGGGTCCTACACTCCGAGTCCGAATCGAGTCTGGAAGGGCGGAGGCGAACCGGATGCGCCATCATGGATGATCTCTGAATGACAAGTACCTAGCCGACTGGCGCATGGCGGGAGATCCCAGCTCACGTTGCCAGTTCTTCAATGTACAGGGCGATTCAGGATTGAGATCCAATATTTTAGGAATCGAATATTTTATTACTAGGGGGCAAAGCCTCCTGGCAGTCCTGATGGCAGCTGCCCCGGAGAGCGCTTATCGCACAAAACCCACACTGGAAAAAAAACATATTAGATCCAGAGTCCAGACTCTTGAAAACATTGACAAGAAAAAGGACTCTTGATTCAATCAGATTTAAGCTTGAATCAGAAGGAAATCCGCTCAAATTAAGAGGCTTGGTTCTTGATTTAAGCTTAAATCTGATTGATGAATCAAGAGTATTTTTTCTTGTCGACGTTTTTAAGAGTCTGGACTCTAGATCCAATGTGTTTTTTTTTCCAGTGCACTCCTGAATATAAAGGGTGATTCAGGATTTAGAGTCAATATTTCGAGAATCGAGTATTTTATTACTAGGGGGCAAAGCCCGCGGTCCTGGCTTCTGCCCCATTTTTTTATTTTTTTTTTATTTATTATTTATTTTTTTTTTATGGAAAAATTTCTGACTTGTGAGTGACTTTAATATTTTACTAATTTGAAAGCCCGCTGCGGAGGCTTCGGTTGTTATTAATCAATTTAAATAGAACGGGCTCATCTCTTTAGAACGAACTATGGCAAAAGAATTCAAGCCGGCTAAGGAGGCGTATCTGCCCAGAGGCGGATCCAGCAATTTGGCAACATCGGATTTCCTCCATCTAAACCTACGATAAATAATCGATTCTTGTCGGAGCACCTGGTCCCTCCAAGAATCGATACGTTTCCATAGGTTTAAATGGAGAAAAGACAATCTTGCCAATTTGCTGGATCCGCCAATGCATCTGCCAAGCCAATGACAGATCGGCCTTATGACCAGTCTGGACCTGAAAGCGAGCTGGGTCATTTAGGGACTAATGCCCGTCGATAGCCGAAAAGCATAGAATTTGGCCCAGCGGAACGGCAGAAGGACCGTGACAAGAAATGAACATTTTTGGCCACAGAGATTTCTAATAATGGTATGAATTAAAAAAAATCGATCATACAAACCGAACCGAGTGAACGCTTTTCAGTTCTGAGCACTAAACTTTCAGTCGACCGATCAGTCGCCAGACTCAATTTCGATGCGATAAAGTGACCAGAAGTCTCGATCGCAGTCAACCGAGCCAAAAACACTTCGGTCTAAACGGAACATCCTCCGTACACTGAGAAAAAACTATTGTTATAATGACCATATTAGTGGTGTTCAATATGCACTCTTAATTAGTAGTGGCCATAACCAATAATAGTGATATTTGTACTGGAGCAGTAATCGTAATTTTACAAGTGTGCGGTAGTAAAATTACCATTTAATGGTGAAAATATCTCTACTATTGGTTATGGCAACTACTAATTAAGATTTCATATTGAACACCACTAATATGGTAATTATAACCATAATTTTTTCTCACTGTATGAACTAAAGTTTTTGGCTCGTTGAAATTTTAGAATCGACTCGCTCCCAGGCGGATCTGAATGGATGCTTTACCTCCTGCGAGATTCTAAATCAGTAATTTTCATGACGAGTTGTCAACAACGGAAAGTGCTTTTAGTTTTGTCTGTGAGTCTGCAATCCGACCGCATGTTCCAAAGGTTGCAGGCGCAAGCAGGCGCTCAGTTCGTCAATCCGTAGGAAAAGCGTGAGTGAGTCTGCAATAAGTACTGAAACTCAAAACAATGCATCCATAACAAGACTCACTCAGTTAGAATTTTAGTTAAACCTCCATTACAGATTGTTTCAGTGATGTTTCATGGGACGGGTTAGTTGTGGATACTGAATTTCGACCTGAACTTTGACATTAGAGAGTGCTTGAAATATCGACCCAGGCCCAAATTTTTTTGACAGATAACTTTCATTTCTGGGCGGCTGCGAGGTAGTTTTTATCTTATTTATTTGATGGCTGATACATGGTTCGCGTCGATGGTTGAGAGGTGCAAAAGGGTCTAATCTACCATTAAAAACCAGCCTCCAAACCATCCAAAAAATTAATGTAGAGACTTCGATCAGTGGTGAAGGCTGATTCATTAGTTCTCGATGATTTCCTATTTGAAGTGATGGTAAAGAATCGATTATCAAGGTGTTAGTCGCAAACTGCTCAATGGTCAATCCTTTTTCATACGCTTAAATGACAAATCGATCGAGTCATTGCAAAAGACGCTAAGTCACCAATTTTCATTTATAGAGCTCCCTAAAAGAGGATATAATCCGGAATCAGTATACTTATTCTCGCTTCATGGTGTTAGATGAGAGGGGTGCTTAGCAGACTTTCCAGCAAGCAAGTCCCCCATTTCCACAAATTGGCTTTGCAAACCACGGGCTGATTATTGTAATTGATAGACAAAGCTATTGACAAAGAAGACAAAAGTGGTATGGAGGGATCCTATTGGTGGAAGCGGATGATTGCAATGGACAAAGGAGGTAAGTAATAGACAAAGTAACGGCAACCTAGGAGAGACCCTCTATTGTAGGTAGTCCATTATTTTCTCCTTTAGCCTACGGGAACCGCCCATTTCAACCAATAGGAGCGCTCCATAATTCCTATTGTCTTCTTTGTCTATCGCTTTGTCTATATCAGTTTCAACAATCGCAGCCCGCTGGTCAGCCAGAAATTCTGCAGTCATCGATAGGTGAGGAAAATGCTCATTGATCATCACTGACAAGTGTTGATCTCCCAAAGTGATCTTTTTCCTTATCCGTTTGATTTGCTAGGACGGCTAGCGCGGGCCCCCTAAATATTTTAATGAGGCCGGTTGACTCGTTAAACTACAAATTTCGAAACGTGACAAGTTCGGTTTGGTTTGAAATTTTCGAGTGTTTTTCGGGTGAAAATGTATGCACAGCATCTTCGTATGTAGGGCTATTATTATATCGATTTTGATTCTTTCAGACCACATGGTGGATGACCACATTTTTGGCAATTTCTAAAGGGGTTTTTGCGATTGTTTCCAACTTTATCGAGAAATTTGTAATTATTATCCTGTGCGGAATTATACCTAAACAATTTTAGAGTGCAATTTTTATCCTTTTAAAGAATCTGATCAAATGTGTTATTTTATCTTCGCAGCGTAACGGAGAAAGATGACTCGAGATGCGGATTTCAAAAGGAGAAGCAAAGAGAAAAACGGAAGTATAACGAGAGGCTCGAACCACAAACTGAATGGAACCAGCAAAAGTCAGTCGCTTAAGATCACAACCGTCGGCGATGGAATGGTCGGCAAAACATGTATGCTCTTCACATACTCCAAGCATCAGTTTCCTCACGATTACATTCCTACCGTGTAAGTATCTAGGATCTTTCTGTTCTCGGTGTCTGAAAAATTAGAATCTATCTATCGATCTATCTATGCGTATCTTAGGGATGAATGCTGGGAGTCATTTCTGCGATTCTGTCGAAACATTTAGAGGAAACACAAATAAAGCGATAGGGGAAGGATTTAACTGGGCATTGCGCCTTCAATTTTGGAGGTTGGCCAGAAAGCATACTGCGTGCAGTAATCGGTTTTGTTTCAAGATTTATGCCCTAGCTGTTTTGTCTACCAATCTTCTCTCATGGTAAATTATGACAAACTTCACTTGAAGATACTGCATCTAGCATCTTTTCTATTGAATTTCTTAATGGTGAGAGGTGTATATTATGAAGATCGCCAACTTACTTCTACCTTAATTTGGGAAGGTAGTGCTTCTCACCGTATGTGCCAGAAAACGCGAATGCATATCAGCTGATGCTCCCGAAGGAGATTGAATATTAATTTGATGCAGAAGATGAGAGTCACGAAGTTTATTTTATTGTGTTTCAAATGTCATGTGAGGCGATCGCATGGCTGACAATTAATTAAATTCCTAAGCACGACTCTATAATTTTATCGTGCACTAAAAAGAAATGAAAAAATATGACCGTGCCAACTTCGGGTATTCTTAGTCTATTCAACATTCTCAGCTTGAAATTTTGATGAGAAATCATAAACTCTTGATTTAATCGGACTTTTTGCTTGAATCAAAAGGAAATCCGCCTAAATCAAGAGGCTCGGCTCTTCGATTCAAGGAAAAATCGGATTGAATCAAGAGTATTTTTTCTTGTCAATGTTATTAAGAGTCCGGACTCTAGATCCGAGCGACTTTTTTTCCAGTGCTTGTAACTTGTTATTTTTGTCTTTTCTATCACGGCTACACTTCTTTTTACCAGAATATTTTTTACGATCCTCGTGTTGCAGATTTGATAACTTTTCCGACAAGCTCGAAGTAGATGGCCAGGAGTATGACATAGTATTATGGGACACAGCGGGGCAGGAGGACTATGAGCGGTTGAGGCCGCTATCTTATCCTGGAGTGAGTGCGTTTTCCGTTCTGTTTTATTTTAGCTCATTTTCATGAATCTGGTCCGGATGCTAAATCGCGATTGTGAGCCGCACTGCGTAACAATTCATGAGACGCAGCGAAAAAAAAAGATGGGAAAGTTTTTTAGAAAAAAATAGATAGAAGTACATTTATGAAGCCTATCCTAATGAAAAATTATCATCTTTCAAGAAAACAATGTACTTTTTTAGACCTTTTTAGGAATAAAAATGGTGCTCCCGTTAAAAACGAGCATGTTGATAACAGTTAACAAGTTGAGATCAAATTACATTGTTACCAACACGGTTCGTCTCAGACAATACGTCAATGCCAATACGTTGGTAACATGGTTGCAACAATGCAACACGGTATACACTTAGTCAAAGAGACCACTATGAAATCAATAAGTATGTTACTGTGTTGGTCCCATTATGGAAACATACTGATCTTAAATTTAGCACTCGTAAAATATGAGCATCTTGCTTGCAAAAACATGGTAATATGCCCCACTCAACAACACAGTTGTTAACTGTCACCTTTAAACTACGACGATTTTTTGATGAAATATTAAAAATAAAAGTTGGAACCCACCTTCGAAAAGTTGATTAATGACTATTAATGAAACTTTTACACGATAATACATAAAATACCATGGCGAATTTCTTTTTTTATTAATTTACTTATTTTATTTTTTCTTCAGACGAACTGTTTTATCATGTGTTTCTCAATTGGAGCCAGGAGTTCTTTTGAAAACGTCCTGAGTAAATGGTATCCAGAAATCAAAAATAAGTGTCCAAATGTACCCATTATATTAGTTGGTAAGTATATTTTTATTTTTTTTCACTCAATAAAAATCAATATATCTGATCATGTGAGATAAGCTGATTTAATCAGAGATTGCAGAAGCGCGTAAGATTCGAATAACGAGCATGGCCTTTCAAAAAATGGCAACCTTGTGTAATAGTGAGGTAGGTAGACAAGTTTTCCGCAAATTATGTCCAAAGACTATTGCCATTCGAATTTTAATTTTTGTTCCAACCAAAATTAGATGAAAATAGGTTCTGTATGGTAATATTTTCAAATCTGTGCTTTATCTACGAGTTCAGAAGAGGAAAGTTTTTGAGAGCAGACAATGAGATGCCTTCATTTCCAGCGAACGCAACAAACGCTACTTCAATGTTATGGCCAGGCGCTCGGCGCGGCACGGCGCATGTGACCCATAGCGTGGTGTAATATAAAAAGTAGGCAGTAAATGCTCACACAAATCGGCACATGCAACATGTAGAGGGAAAATGTTGTTCATGCATCTCTAAAATCCTAAACTTTCTGGAAAATGTTTGGCTCAGATTACTTCCTCGTTGTATTTTATCCACAAAAATTGGATGTTCGAATAAGGTACCAGTAAGCTAAGTTTGATCGATTTCTATCAACATTTTTATTCAATGAAGAGAAAAATTTCTTATAGTGCTTAGGAAGATGGTCTGAAAAATAACAATCTCCTATAGTCCGCAGAAAAAGATCTCTCTGCGAAAATGCTCGAGTCGTGGAGGAGTCCATACCAAAGCCTGACCCTCTCACTCCCTCCTGGAAAACCCCTCGCACTCAGGAGCATAAACTCTCAAGATAATAAACATTACCTTTATTGTTAGGAGGGTGTTTTGTGAGATCAAACGGATTAATCATTAGCAAAAAAGTATCATCGTAGGGAAGTTTTTGTCGGCACAGCTAAGATGTCCATGCGTTTCCGTGCGTTTTTGATAAACTCGGTACAAATGGATTACATTCTGCAATAAGGAACCACTATATTTGACTCTCCCATAAAAGCACATATCTGCATATGGAAACCAATGGCATGTATGTTGTTCCCAAAATGGACCAGAAACAGTGGTTCCTTACCAAATCCTAGCAAAATTAAAACTGGGACCTTTGGATCATAAACATCAAATAAATTAACGTACGTAAAATTAACGTACGTTGGCAGAAAAAAAATACTCCAACATACCAACGACCCGTGCGTCCACCGCAATCAGTTTGTGTATCAAATAAATGTTGATACAGGACGAGATTTCCTCATCCCAAATGATAATAAAAAACGTGATAAGTAAATCATTTCTTGTTTCAAACTTTCATTTTTATGTGTTTCCAATATTCAACCCAACCAGCGACCGCCAAGTAAATGATTTTGTAGTGATAAACATAGACGCTTTTTCATTGGTAAATCCAGCAAATTGGCAACATTGTCTTTTCCATTGTCATTATGAGGCCTCATATGTAACAATGGCGGATGTGAGGAATTATCTTTTCGAAACACGCTTAAAAAATTGTTTTGTTCACACAAAAATTTAATATCACATTTCAAGTAGGTATTTTCTCAAAATTTTCTCGATGCCAAAACAGTTTTTTGAATGTGTTTCGAAAAGGTAATTTTTCACATCCGCCATTGTTACATATGTGTAAGTCCTCACATGGAAATGTATCGATTCTTGGAGGGGCCAGGTACTCCGACGCATGGCCGGATTCACCTACTTGCCGCCCATAGGCCGCCTGTATATTGCCGCCCTCTTCTCATTCATTTTGAAATATCGATAAAAAACCATCAAGTGAACGTGCCGGAGGGAGAAAGGTGCATAAGACGCGTTTACTCGTGTTGGGCACATTTTTTGCGCGTAAGCCCTGTCAACACTACTAGTAAAAGTTCACGGAACTTCGCGCGAAAGTTCAGTTCCGTAAACCTATCTCTGTGGGGACGAGGCCTTTCATTTGTTAGAAATGAACTAAAAAATTAAGAAAGAACAAACATAAATGTGGTTTAATAATTTTAACTTCCGGCGCCGTGCCGCGCTGACCACACTCAGTTTGGCGCAATGCGTGAAGTATTCATATAGTCTTGTAGGCACTGTGCGTTTCACGCCGCGCCGACCGCTGCTGTTGACCGTACTGTGTTTGACGCAATGCCTGAAGTATTCATGCAGTCTTGTAGGCGCTAATATGTGTTACATGCCGACCGCCGCGCCAAGGGCTTGTCCTTTTCATCTCAAGTCCTCGTCATCATTCTTCTCTAAGCTAAGCTCCAGGCCAAGTTGCGTGTTACGTTCCTCTCTTAACTCGACTAATTAAAGATGCTGTCTCTTGTATCACCGAAAAACGACAAAATTAAAATTTACTACACTCTCAGGAAAGAGAGATTTTGTCCCCTTTTCTCATTGATAATTTTTTTTCTGAATCCGATTTTTTTTATACCTACATTTAAAAAAATTGCAAAATTTGCCGCCATGGGCCGCGACCCATGTGGCCACCCCTTAATCCGGCCTTGACAACTTTTGGATTTTCTGTTTCAGGGACAAAGACTGATCTCCGAGAGTCGGGCACCGATACGATCAGCGTGAAAGAGGCCAAAAAAATGAGGCGAAAACTCGGAGTCCACTCGTACTTGGAGTGCTCGGCGTTGAAGAACGAGGGTCTCGAAGAGATCTTCGTCGAGGCTGTCAGAGCGGCGGTCAATCCACCAAAAAAAGAGCGCTGCTGCCAATGTCGGATTTTGTAGGCTCCTTAACCGGCCCTTCAAAGGTGGAACCAGACTGAAACTCAACGACTGACAGGGCGCGAGTTGAACTAACCCTTCAAGGCCTTTCTTCCTCGGAACGTCTCCGCAGCTCAACATTTTGAGTGTGCGATGAGATAAAATAACACATTCTCCTCCAAAGAAGTTGAAGGATCTCACTTCCCAATTTTGCACCGTCGCACAGTGGATCGAGTCAGTTGGGGAGGTCGGACAAAATTTGGAAACTTTAAACGCTTTAACTACGTTCATACACTGGAAAAAAAACACGTAGGATCTAAAGTCCAGACTCTTAAAAACATGGACAAGAAAAAATACTCTTGATTCAATCAGATTTAAGCTTAAATCAAGAACCAAGCCTCTTCATTTGAGCGGATTTCCTTTTGATTTAAGCTTAAATCTGATTGAATCAAGAGTCATTTTTCTTGTCAATGTTATCAAGAATCTGGACTCTAGATCCAATGTTTTTTTTTTTCCAGTGTACTACATTTTGAGGTTCTCAAAGTGGTTACATTGATTTCCTCGCGGAATTTTCTTCTATACACCCCTTGAAATTTCAAATTTGACGAAATAAACTTTAAAATTTGCAATTTTAGTAAAAAAAGTAATGTTTGACCTCTCTAATTGACTCGATCCCCTGCGCTGCGGCGAATTTTTTTTTATTATTGCCGTTCGAAGCAAGAATGTTGTAACGCTATTTAAATATTTCTGTTTGTTTTTCTTTGACTTTGTGTTGTATCACAAAATATCTTATGAACACTCTTCAAACTGATTGGGTCATACCCTCAGGAGCTTACCATGAAAATATGACGCTAGAGAAAAGTAATACATTCTCATAATGGAACTAATTAAATCTCGAATTTTTTGGGGGAAAAAACAGAGAGAACCTGAAAAATAGCTGAAAAATGAATTTAATTGAGAAATATCGTTTTCAACTAAAAATCGCTCACGTAAAACTGGGCTCGACACCCTTCTCTTTTCCTTGTGAGACTCACTAAGGCAACCGCAGACCCCCTCTCCCCCTTCAGATAGCACACGAAATATTTAAACGGTCCTCAAGAAATTCTCTTGAAAAAAGTGCACAAAAATAAATAAAAGTGATTGGCTGACAAATCTTCCTATTAACTAGCGAAGAGGAACCAAAAATAGTACTAGGTTCGTTATCCCCGACAAAATTTGGGTCCTGGAAAAACTACGAGAGTGGCCTTCGCTGAGCGTTCACACATTTACACTCATACACTCACACCATCACAAATTCTGACTGTAAACGACTGGCTCTGAGATAAGTGGAACTCGTTTGGGCTGCTCGAATCTCCCCGGATGAGATGCGGTTGTCATACGGGCCAAAGTTCATCGGCCGAGAATGTGCTCGAATGAACTTTCAGTTCAACACATTTCATGTATTATATTCAAAATTATATATAATGTTTTGATAACAGCATTACCCTCGTCGGCTTGGTGTAGCCAGGAAGGTAAACTGTAAGCCGAAATCATGAGCTGTGGGAATCAGCTCAGTTAGATCAGCGATACACTTTAACCAAATAATGCTAGTCTGCATTGGGTAATTGTTAAAGTAAATCAAATAAGTCAATCAAAATGTGTGTATTATGCTTCCTACTTTACAAAAATTGTTAAAATTACCGAGTATACTTTCTGTGATGTAAAACCGAATATAACAATAATCAATAAGCGCAAATGTAAATACTATGTTGTAAATATGAGTGCCTTATATGTGTTTTATCATTGATCTTGTTTATGTCAAATATATTTTTCCTTTTGAAGTTTTATACGTCGTTTTTTGCTTCTGTTTGTTTCTTACTCGTCAACCTACCTCTCAAATCTTTGTTAATGCTAACAAAAACATCAATGGTTAGAGTGAGAGAAATCTCGGTAGATAGCACTGCCATATTGTGAACTATCAAGGTCAATATTGAAACTGTTTTACATCTTTCCATCCATTCAAACTATAAAACAAAGTTAGCCAAAAAATGAAAAAAATGAAGAAAAAAAAAACTGCAGTGTTCAGTTATAATGATTAACCCTTCATCATTCTGTGCCAAGAAAGGAAGAAACGTATATTTACTATTTACACATGCAATTTGTCATCAGAGAGTGATTCATTATATTGAAAGAAAAATATTGCGATTTATTGGAAATTGTTTTGATATACATAAGTGTATCAACACATTTTAAAGAAGGTATCTTTGTGAAAAGAGAAGATGGATTTCTTCAATCTTCTCTACATGCATAAAATGATAGGAGTTTCGCATAACGCATAAGGGAATGTAAAGCTGGGCGTATCCTCTATCTCGTCCGCAACATCAACCCCCCCCCCCCCCCCCCCCCCCCCCNTCATGCGCCTACTCAACCCGTTACCCTTTCTCAAGTAGAGGTATTTATCCACCCCCAATTTCTCCTCCTTGTTTTTCCGCTTTTTGCCGACCTTTAACAATTGCAAATAAAGAGAAGAAAATAAGTTGAATTCTGTGTGTTTTTTTTTTATTATTATTATTTATTTTTTATCAGAGTAAATGACAAATGGTCCATCCAGAGTATCCTTGTGCAAAAGAATTCAAAATTACAAGTTGAAAAATGCTGCGCGAGTTTGAAAAAGGGCGCTTAACTCTGCGGTCGGCGCGAGCATGTTAGCGCCTGCAAGACTGCATGAATACTTCACGCATAGCGCGTACTGCACGGCGCAGCGCGGCCGGCGCGCGCTGTTAGTCCCTGCAAGACTGCTTGGATACTTCACGCATTGCGCGTACGCCACTGCGCGCACTATGCGCCTCAATCGTCGCGTTTCCCCGTCCCCCGTCGTATGGAGTTCAAAGTTCCTGAATTTAAACAACGTGCAACTCCTTAACCGTTTGCTTAACGTTCAGTGTGCGTTTTACTCAATACTGAAAAAAAATCGTAGGGATCCATCAAACCAATAAAATGTGTTGAGCCTGTGTGTGTTGATTGGAGTAAATGCGTTGCATTAAATTGGCACTATCGAGTTGAGCGGGAGGCTATGTGTTGGCGCAACACAGTATTGTGTCATTTCAACACCATTTTTCTTGAGTCAACTCGCCTACTATTGGCATGAATGAACACAACTTTTTGTAATAAAAGAACACTACCAATTGTCTCAAACTAAGAAAACAATTTTCTCGAATCAAAAAATCTTCATTATAATACAATAGCATAATGAAGTTTCTCAAATTAAGAGAACACTTATGTTGAATCAAGAAATTGTCGCTTTAACTTGATACAACACTATGTATATAACGTATAACGGATAACGTATAGGCAATTGTTTCCTGCTGCCTCAAGCGCGTGGACTGTTTTCTAAAATTTTTAGGGAAGGACGTCCAATATCGTCTATGAAGAAACTTTTCATGGAATGACTTTCATTATTTAGGAAAGACATAATTAACCCAGTTAGACAACATTATTTTACAAATATTTTGAAAATATTGTCCATATTTTTAGAATATTGTTAGATAAAGATTTTATTTTAAGTTTTTAAAAATGTGATTACAATATTTTGCCTCTGAGTCAGTTTATTTCCAGTTTCCGAGGGGAGGCCAGTTATAGTCCCTCGCAGCGGCGTGGCGTGAATGATCGATTTTCGATATTCCTCCGATTGAATGTATAGTAAAATATCGATTATTAAGGTGTTCGCTGCGAACGCCCTGTTTATCGATCCTTTTCCATAGGTTTGAATGACACATCAATCGATACATCGCAATTCACGCCACGCCACTGGTCCTTCGTCACTGTCAGATCATGAAAATTGAGAGTACAAGTTCACTAGGTGCGCGCCAGTCGGCAGTGGTCCATGAAATCGCTGTTAAGGCTGGGCTTGCCCTTCTCATGTATTCCAGCTTAGTCCTACTCAGAGGATTTGTAAAATTACCTCGGCTAACTCTTTTATGCTCTAATAATTCACCATTATTCAACTTTGAGAGTTTTTATGCCCAGGGGAGCAACGGCGGTTCTGCATGGATGCGGATGGTTTCAGGTGAGCCCTCATGCAAACAGAGATGGGGAACCAAAATACGTAAAGCACTCGATGTTACAATTTTTACTGAGAAATACAGAAAAATAGATTTCACAGACAGAGGATTTCATAAAATTTTATCTAATATAAAAATATTAAAAATGAAAGTTTAAAAAAATCTATGAAACAGACATCACTGGATCATACGGTTTGCCTAACCAAATTATTTGGTTCGCTGGACAAAATTGCGATTTGCTATCGCGGCAGTGCTCCAGAAACGAACCGGCCAAAAACGAGCAGATAGATTCTACTGATGTCACTTTGTATTTACCCGTATCAGTAGAGACTCGACTACTTCCACCATCGATCCAACTGATATTAACGAAAATTTCCACCTGTTCCCACTACTCATTTTCATCGCGGAAAAAGCGTACAATCTCTGTCAGAGGATTTCACTGAAAGATGTCCTTGACACACTGAAAAAAGTCACTCGACCTTGACTGTGGCCCATCCTGCCGTGCTGAGGAAGAACGCCGTATGGATATTCGAGAGTTGCCAAATTTCCCTTGATAAAACACGTATTTTTGACAACATTCATGCATATTTTCCCTTAAAATTTTCGTATATTTTAGATTAAAGTGCGCACAAAATGGTCTGAAAATCTTGAAAAATAATATTCGCAATTTTCCCAGTAAATTCGGTTTTTATCGGAGGAAACTTGGCAACGTCTGAAGGTTCATACGGCGTTCTTTCTTAGCACGGCAGCGTTGTCGAAGTGTTCGCCATTCTGTTCCTCCCGCGGATTTGTTGAACCCCCATATGTGCACCACCAGAGCAAGAGCAGCGTTTCGCTAATCACTGAATTTGCAAAATGATGAAACTGTAAGAGCGTGAAAAACCAACTTTCCATTTCACCGATTGGCACCCTCATACAACCAGCAACCATTTAAGTGCCGTTCGTTTAGGCGCACTTCTGAGTCGATTTCCAAGCATCCCCTGCTCCTCGTCTGTGGGATAGCCGAGCCCGCATCTTGTGGACTTCAGTGTTTGATCAATTTTTTGTGAGCCACCGTCTATCAAGACTCATTTCGGGGTCTAGCTCGAAGTGTTAAGTACATCGTACAACTGCCGACGCAGGTGAGACGTCAATAATTATTGTAACTCCACGGTATTTTGTTATATCCAAGATGGCGCAATACATTTTAATTCAGGGTGTCTCCTCCGCTTCGAACCATAAAGCATTTTAATCGAAAATAATTGCATAATTAGACATTTTGTTTCAAATACAAAAATTTCCGGTAAAAGGCATCATTTACAGTCATTAATTAATTTGAAAATTTAATTTGAGTTCAAACAATCTGGAAGTTTGCGAGCAAATCCAAATCAAATGCGGAAGTTCTTATAGCGGCTGCACAATCTGAATCGCCTTCAATTAGCAATATAGGCATTACGCTTTCCCACGCGTCGAAATACTGGTATCGACAGGAAGGTATATTGTAGAAGGACGTCCAGTTCCTGTTATAAAGCGAGGGAAACAACGCGGATTTTGCTTGCATCGTGTGACGAATCATACTGCTCAGCCTCTGAAATAACTGACAATCGATAAGACTCCACTAGTTTTTAGCCCAAGCTAAAAAGTTTTAAAAAATGCCACACACTGACAAAGTAATTTAATGCATAGCCAGTAATTTCAGGGAAGTAGTATAAAAGTATTTTTACGTTTACGTTGTCTATTTTTTATCTCGAAAAGTAATCACTACTGACGGAATTTTTTATTTTCTTTTATATTCTACTATTTCGAGAATATCTTCAAGAAATATTAGGCTTAAATGGTGCCATACATCATTTTGAAGAAAAGAGACTGAATTATGGGATCGTACTTCGGAACAAAAAATTATGTGTTTTTCCCCCATTTTTGTTTTCTACAGAACAAAGTGCGGCCAAAGACCGAGAATTTTAATGGAATATCAGTACTCGTCTTGTTTTAACTCGAGGTCCTGAAATATACCCTACTGTGCACGTTCATGATCGATATAGGATCTAAGTACATGTGCAAGGTTTTTATTTTTTTTCTAGAGTGGAGTAGCCAGCTTCGTTTCCTTGCCAATAAAAGCTAGTCGAATAACTATGAAGAGCTTTATCACCTTACTGATCCTATGCTCGGTTGTTCAGATCAAAAGCTCGGCCATTAAGAGAGAGGCGAAATATCGTAAGTTTTAATTCTAATTCTTCTTCTTATTGTTTGCAATTAGAGCATATTCTATCACAGATTTGACTTTAATGCATTTTTAAATGAGAAAACCAAAACAAGGATTAAATACGAAAGAAGTCCAAAAATATAAATTTATATACCTAATCATTTAGCAATTTAATGAATAATTGAGAAACTCATCCGAAAATTGCGATAGCTAACTAAAAACCGATGAAGGGGACGATAAAGGAGTAAATGAGGAAAGAAATATGTGTCATGATACGATGACTAAACTCTAAAAATACGTATCTCGCGATGTTGCAAATTTCATTTCGTATTTTGTACTTAATATATTATATTGTTAGCTCACAATGCTAATTTTTTCTATAAAAGAAAAATTTGGGCTAGCATTACCGCTTCTAAAAAAGGGATGTTATCGCATGTTCTTCTTTCCATTTTCTGATACCTTATTGATGTAGTGAAAAAGGAAACATGGCTAATATTTTAGCTAAGCAGTCAGATTAAAAACGAAAAGGTCTTTTTAACAAAGAGAGAGGAGAATGGTTTGAATCTGAAAAAAGTTGTTTCCTGAATTTGATACTTAATTATGATGCATCACGACTTTAAATTAGCGTATATAAGCTAAATCCCCCATCCCTCCGAGTAAATTTTCCTTCATTTGTTGTACAATTGAATGTATCATTGCTTCAGAATCGTGTCTCAATAAAGCTTGCAACGACCTTTGAGCACCGGTGCGTGCATGATCGCACACGGGGAAAAAATGAACAAGAGCATAAGAATAGTGGCGGTTGAGATTAGTTACCTTTGTCTCTTTTACGCTTGAAAGATTTCTGAGAAGGCGAAGTATGAAACTTCCTTCATTAGATTGTTGGCAGCCAATGAGGATAACAAACTTTTTATAATCGAATGACTCTTGAAAAATGTAAGCCTGATTCATTACACATTTCACGCCTCAGGTGTTCTACAATTATTATCAGTGGATGTTCCAAATTGATTTTTATCGTTTTTTTAAACTTCTTATCTAGTTTTTTTTCCTTAAATGCGTTTCCAAATTTTCTAGTTTAATTTATACTTATTCCTAATTTTTCGTTTTTCAAAGCACGGTTTCAGCGTAGCTGCTACAGGAACATGCCAACTGGGGAGCTAGATGACTGCCTTAAGTTCAATTTTCAGCAGAGTCTCCCAACCTACAGATCTGGTAAAAACACTTCTAACTTTACTCACAAGGGATACAAATCGAAATGACTCCATGTAAAAGCCTCGTTTGTAGCGTAAATGAACCGGTGGAATTTCATCACTGCGAGATGTGATGATATTTAAGGATACACAAAATATGTAAAACTTGTTTAGATTTGTTGGAAAAACTGAAATTTAATTCAAACAACCATGCAGCCTTTTAAGAAAAATTTTGGATTGGGTCAAAATCATGAGTGCTAAGTTTGCTAGTCAAGTTTGGTGTGCTATTCAGTCCGGCAAGTATTCTAGACACCTAAAAGCCATGTTCGGCTCATTTTCAAGAGTTTGAAGACTGAAAGGAAAAAATCAGCCTAACATTGATCGCAAAAACAGGACAAAAATAAAATATCGTATTATATCAATACATTGATTACGTCAAACACAGTATGTGATCACTCGTTAGAATTATGATCTCGTTTTTCAGCTGGAATTCCAGGCATTATAAACGGAAGTATTGACCCTCATACATGGCCAAGATTTTATCACTACTTTGGTGGAGCTTTGATTCAAGGTAGCCTGACTATTTCGGATGCCAAAATGTGGGGATGGTCAGCCCTAAGGGTGTTGCAAGTTCGGTGAGTCTGAGTACACTCCATGATCGTTTAGCACTTGATGTTAACAGTGTTTTTCTTCATCCTTCATTACAATTATTAGATTTGAGACGCGCTAACAATGCGTATGATTAATGGAACAAAAATTGTGGTAGTTTCTGCTAGAAATATGATCTTAACACCTGTTTTAGTTTGAATTTTAAGTGGACTTTACTTCTGGATTTTTATGATGACTAACGCGAATGAAAAAAATCATAATCGATGAGCTCTCTAAAATTAATTTATAGTCTTAAAACATAGGGAACGGAACAATGAATGGAAAATGGAAAAAAAAACGGAAATAAAACTTGATTCATCGGTGGCACCCAATCGATCAATTTCATCAACACTAAGAGCTGCAATATACGAGTTACTACCTATTGAAGGAGCAATTCTAAGTGCGGAAAAAATATGATTCTCCATTGTAATTTTTTAGACTGTTCAAATATGATTAGTCAAAGAATTTTTTTATTTTTAAAAAATATAGTAAATAGAAGGCGAAAAGAAAAATCGTAAACTTATTTATGCATTGCACCGCCAATTGACGTCTCATATAAAAAGAAGGACTATATTAATTGAGGGCTTGTGTGCTTTTTTTTTTTTTCAGAACAAATGTGAAAAATCCTGAGAAAATGCTGGTTGACATGGACTTCAAAGTTCCAAAGTTAGACATGTTTGGCCAGTTCAAACTAGAAGCTAGACTGGGTGCTGCCAAGTTTTATGGCGAAGGACCATTTTGGTTAAACTTAAGTGAGTAAAAACTTCCATACGAGTATGTCCCTTAATCTGAAGGTGAAAACTGCGAAAACGCGCAACTCTCGCGGTTTGCGACGCTGCAGACTTGCTGCCATAATTAATTTTTTATGGGGAGAATACTCAACGTCATTTCTTGAAAACTTCACTGATTCCTCCTCTCTGTGTGAAGAATATTCTGTGAAAATCTCTTGCGATAGTGCCGGTCCTTCCCTTTTTGCTTTACAGTAACGGAGATTGTGAGACATCGCAAACGAAATTTTTAATTTCGCTATCAGTTATGCTGAAAATGTCAGCACGTGGGAAGAACGCTATGTTTTGTCAAAATGCACGGAGAAAGAAGAATCGTTGCTCTGACAATGCTGACAGTGGTTACCGTCTCCTACCTATTTACCTTATCTCAGGTACAATTTTACATTTGTGATAATATTATTATGGTTCCAGTAACAATGCAGCTCTGTTTTTTCATGTCATAATATTGTTTTGCTTGACCTCCAGTCATGGAAGTTGGCTCGGAACTTTTGGAACGTTGCAGCTGAGGTACGCGGTTTCTGAGTTTAATATACTTTTCTCTGTTGTTCGCAGCTGGGGTTAGCGGAACGTGGAAGGTATCAGGGAGCAGGGAAAGAGGTGCGCCCTACATGGAGATCAAAAGCTTCAAAGGCAGACCCTCAATCGAGACCTTCAAACTGAAAGCTAAGGGGGCCGCTCTTGGCAACGAACGGCTAAGTAAGTTATTTCCCCCATCATAAACCCTTCAAAGAGTAAGCCTTCATCCCTGCAATGGCGAGTTTGCAAGATAAATTTTTGTTGTATCGTTATATAAAGAAAGGTAAAATTGAAACATTTGTAAAGAATAAATGAAATATCCATGCTCTTAAGAAAAGATTACAGTCTGAGACATCTGCCGCAAAAAACAAACACAAATTTCTGTCATAAAATTTAATTTTTTAGAACATTTTAATGATTTAAACCGAGAAATTGCGAATTAAAGGCGAAGTGGTAAAAGTCTCGCGACATTTTAACCGAGATAAGTCTGCCTCATTATCGAGAGATAGGAACTTCGTCTTTTATAATCCTAAAAATAACAATGTTGTTTTTATGAGCACAGAATCAGTAACTTCTTATAGATTCTGATTATGCTAATAATGGTGCAAAAGCTGGACTAAATAGTTTTCTCGTTCCCTATTTCAGGCAATCTGGTTATAGCTACCATCAATAGGGGCTGGAGAATTTTCCACGAAATTGCTAATCCCGCCATCGTACGAGAATGGGGAAATTACTGCACAGAAAATCTCAACAGGGTTTTCAAGTCTGTGCCATACGATGAGCTCTTTCCCCTTGATAGGGATACCTCCGAAGTTTCGTCTTATAACAACTGAAAGTCTAGAATTAATTCTTTAATCGCTTCGGAATATTAATTTTTATATTTTTTTACTGAACTGAGAAAAACTATTTTTAAGAATATTTGAATACGAATAAAAAAATATCACACTCATTTTAATTTTTCGTCTATTACCCACTCCCATTGAAATGAGAAAGACCTATGGATCATAGATGGATTTTGGAAATTATGGAACTAATTTTTTCGACAAAGTAAATTAATTAAAGACGAGAATTGATCCAGTTTGCCAATAAATTTAATAAGCTGAGAATGTGAAGGAAAGAAACCTAATGGTAATCTGATGCGGAACTGACTTCTGGTATAAAGAAAAAAATTAATTACTTGTACTTGATCGAAGATGATGTAATTAAAGGATCACTTACATTTCAAGTCTAAGTTACGTGATTTAATTCAACTTTTGAAATGACGTACATTGGTATGAGTGGATAAATTACACAAAGCCATTTCGAGTCCTAATTTTCATTTGTAATTATTATTTTCGACTTTTTTAAAGAGATGAAGCATTATTTATTAACGTTGCCATTCTGAAAAAAGAGGCGCCAGTTTCCGTGCTTCAATTCTGTATAGTTCAAAACATGCTTTCGAGGGGAAAAGACTGCGCTGTTTTTCCAGCAGTTCTATCACTCATTCGATCTCATGTACTGAGGAGCTTAACCTCAGTTTTTTGTAAAGATTATTACCATAACAACATCCACCTTCCTCGTTGAAAAAAACACATTTATCAAGAGAACCCGCAGCACTGTATACTAACTAATGACTACTTTGGATGATAGAAGAGCTCTGTCTAGTCTACCAATTTTGATTTTCCATTCAAAAACAATTGCCTGCAGTCAAGACCTGAAAAATACCTCCATCAGCTACAAAAGAATTTAAAAAAAAAAAAAAAAAAAAAAAAAAAAAAAAAAAAAAAAAAAAAAAAAAAATCACTAGGCTTTTAAGCAGGAGACGTGAAGCACAGGGATCTCTCAAAAAATAATCTAAATATTTCAGGGTTGGATAGTCGCGTAACGCTGAACTTTGAGTGCCCCACTCCCCTCATGACTTCGTCGGATTGCAATGTTGGTTCCAATTCTCTCCCAAAGCGTGTCATGCAATGCCGAAACGCCCTCAGTTTACTAGTTTACACAATAGAAAATCTCGGAGTGAATGCATGACAGATTCTGCTCTTTCTGCGGAGCTGAAATTCACTCTTATTCAGAACGAATTTGACTCAGCATTCATATCACTCTGGTTTTTTGGTAGCTATGTACGCACTGGAAGTGAAACAATATAAACTTATAAAATCTCTAACTAAACTAATAAAACTTCTCTTGAATTTAACGGAATTGAAACCTCCCACTCAAGACTATTAACAGTATATAGGTAAGTGGAGCCTCGGTATGGCAAACTTGTCATTCAAACATCTTAACATAAATTACTCCGATATTTTGTTTTCTCTCTAAAATTGATCGTCTTCAAGAGGAGACCCCCATATTAAAATCGCCGAAGAAACAACGGTGCTTCATTGGTCCCAGAAAACATGCGGAGTAAAAAGATATTAAACACAAGGAAAGCTCCTAATTTCCATTTTGCCGATTGGCACCCTCATATATCCGCCGGATCAATTGGAGCGCAGTACTTTCATTTTAGTACTTATTTGAGAATATTTAGAAGGATCCAGCCCGCATCTGGTGGATTTTAGTATACCATCAGTAATTTGTGAGCCATCGTTGACCGAGGATTATATCGCAAAGAATAGTTTAGAGTGTCTACTTTATCGCAGAGCGGTCCGTGCTTAGGTAAGAGGTTAACTCTGGTAATGACTTGTTACGTTTTCATTTACGCTGTATACTTATGTTGGCAATTGGCATCCTAAACGTTCACATATTTTTGCTTAAATCTTTTAGGTGTGGTAGTAATTATTTAAAAAAAAAACCTATTAATCACTTAATCGTGTATTAAATTGGACCGTATGGAAACATGTGCAAGAAGATGCTAAAAATATCAAATCCCGTCATTGCAGAATACGTGCGGACTGGAAATCTTTTGTCACATTGTATTTTGTTAAAAGACCTGCTCATGGTGTTGGAAAAAAATTTCGCGTGGCTTTAGTGCGCTCTTTCAAGATTATTCTCTGAAAATTTTACACGATATATCGAGCAGTGTTCTTTTCAAAAATATAAATATAAGTAAATTTTAAAACACCGCAATTGAGATTTATATTTTGGGAGTTTTACCATCAATATCGGCTCCGCACACAGCGATTGTCTATAATTTATGCCATGTTGATTAATTTTAGAAAATTTCAAAAGCGCAAATACCCGAGGGTGCATGAATATCCAAAAGCGCAGATCCAATCGCACAAATATTCAAAAGCGCAGACCTAAAAAGCGGAAATGAGGATTTGCGCTTTTGAGGTGGTTAAAGAGCAGGGAGTCGTGTACGCAAATGATTGCCCTTGAAACCGGAGAAAAGGAGACAAGAAAAACTTTATCCATGGTAGAAATCTGAGTGCAAGACCATACTATTTTTTAATTCGCTGATATTAAATAAATAGTCTCTGCCCAATGGACGAAAAAGTCGCCTTCAGCTAGTAAATAATTTTCTACTTACAAATAAAAGCCCGACAGAAAGTCCTCAGCTCACACATGGTCTTCCATAATACATGTACAAATTAAAGGCGAGCGGATTTAGAATCTGTGCAATAATTATGCCAAGTCGATAATATTTGCGTGACTGAATGGGAACGTACTGACCGGGCAAACAATAAACGTTCCGTTTGGGAAGGGCGCAGGGGTTGACATAGCCCTGAAAAAAATCTATATTAAGTCACAATCATACGTCCAGAGGCGGATCCAGCAATGTGACAACACTGGATTTCCTCCATTTGAACCTATGTTAAAAAATCGATTCTTGTCGGAGCACCTGGCCCCTCCAAGGATCGATTCATTTCCGTAGATTCAAATGGAGAAAAGACAATGTTGCCAATTTGCTGGATCCGCCAATGCTGACGTTGGATTAATGCATTCCAACTTCGACAATTTAGTTCATTTCAGTTGACATCAGGTAAAATGACCCCGAAGTCTGATGGAACAAACAGTAGTTCTCCTACTTTATTTTATCCGGCATTACCTTTACATCAATTAAACTGTCTAACTTCCATTTTTGTGTGAGAAGTAGGACTAAATTACTTCTATATTTTTTTTCAGCGAGGAACACTAAACTACCCCGAGGCATCAGGGAAAGGACACTTATCAGTGCATTTAGTGTTATTGCGCATTTTCTTTAATTTTAATTTTTAATTATTAATCTCACGATATTTACACTGGCCTGGTTAAATAATTAGAAAAAGTGAATTATTGTTAATCATGGGCGATTATTTAGAGAGGGAGAGGGAAGGGTTGAAGCAGGATATTCTATTTGCAATCCTGATTGTATTCATGCGTGGTCGTTTTCAGGTCAATGAAACAGACTGTACTTTTGTCAAAACCATACAGTCGAATGAGTATGAAAAGAGTTGTCACAGCACTGATCTTATGCTCAGCCGTTCAAATCCAAAGTGCCATAGCACTAAAAATGAGGCAAAATACCGTAAGTCTCATTCAATTACCACGAATTTTGAATTTACTCAATTTACAGGTAAAGCACACGGAGAAAAAAAAATAAAAAAAAAATGCAAATAATAAAATTATGTAAAGGCTGTAAAAAAAGGTCAATGATGAAAAATTGAAAGGTCGTTATCAGAATAAGCCTAGCTGCATTTTCCGTTGATTGATTTTCTCTATTGAACCTTGGTAAAAATTGGCGATAGGAGCTGCGTTTCAAAATACCATAGGAGTTCTTATAGCCGACTGAAGAAGGCGATAGAAAATCATATAGCTGGCTGTAGAAAGTGGAAAAAATCATACGGCCGGGCTACACGAAGCGATAAAAAATTATACAGCTGGGCTATAGTTCCTATCGCCGGGCTTTACACTTTATCGCCTGGCTGTTGCTTTTTCGCCATCGGCTATAAAAGGCTATAAGAACTTGTGTAGAAATTCGTGTGCTTTGTAAATCCTTAAGTTTGTACGGAATCACCTTAATATTTACAAAACGCATATTATATTTTCCTTTACTACATATTTTTTTTCATCAATTAAAATGGGAATAATCCATACAGAGTGTGCAAACATTTCAAAGTCATGAGTTGAAAAACGCTGACTCCACGAGATTAAATATTAGAGCCTAACACAAAGCGGAGCGGCGGCGCACTGGCGCGCCTACAAACCTAACAGGGATACTTCACGCATTGCGCAATGCGAGAAGTATCCCGGTTAGGTTTGAAGGCGCCAATGCGAGTGCGGTACGCTGCGGCGCACGCCGCGCCGCAGCGTACCGCGGCTCTTGAAGCAACTATTTCACACCAGAGGTATTGCACAGGATCATACGAAATTGCAGGCGCTCCAACATTTTAGGAATGACAGGCATCCTTCTAAAGTACGGAGCTTTCCTCGCAAAATAAATCAAGATACTACGGCCCAAAAAGAGAGCGGTAGTCCAAAAACTCACTAATTCCTAGCATCCGTAATTAGTAACGTTTAGAATACATTTTATCGCCAGGCTGTTGCTTGGTCGCCATCGGCTATAAAAGGCCATAAGAAATTGTGTTGCCGACTATAGAAGCTATTGGAAATCTTACAGCCGGCTGTAGGTCTATGGTATTTTAGAACACAGATTCTACTGCCAATTTTTACCAGGGAAGGTTCAAATCACAATGAATCACTATGCAAAGTAAGGAAAGATTGTGTATCGGCATTGAAAAAAATCTTTGTTCCAAGGTTCCCTCCAAAATTTGTCTCATGAGTTTCTGACAACTATTACATAATCTACTAAAAATTAAGTTTTTTTTTAAAAAAAAAAAGCAGAATACCGTTTGAAAAAAGACCTTACAAGAAATACAAAAATCCACGAACTGAGAAAAATATCGTACGTTCCGTGTAATCCTTTAATAATCATCATTATTGGGATCGGGTTGATCAATCAATATATAAGAACCTATTCTTGATTTCTTTTATTTTCTTTGTTACAGCGCGGTTTAAGCGGAGTTGCTACAGGAACATGCCTAATTTGGAGCTGGACAGCTGCCTCAAATCTAATTTTCAGCAAAACCTACCAAGCTACAGATCTGGTAAAATTGTACGGCATTCCATTTGGTAGCCGTAGCTTAAAATTGACACTGAAAATATAATGACACAATCTTCAACAGAAAATTTTTCTGAAATTGAATTAGGTACATAAACCAACTGGAGATCCAGCGCATGAGGGATTTAAGCAAATTTCAAATTATTCTAATCGGGGAATACTGTTATTAATTTCAACAAATAAAAACAGCACGTGCAAGTATGAAGCTTAAAAAAAGGAACTGATGAAATTAATTGAATTTCACAGAACTTTGTTTGCACTAAGAAGAAAAATCGTGGCAAGTTTTAAGAGTTACCGTTGAGCAGTTTTCTATTTTAAAAAATAAAGTATGGCGGGAAGCCTGGAACGTCGCAAACCGAGATGCGTGTTTTGGGATGTTCACCGTCAATTGAATTGAATTTTGCAAAAAGGAACCGCACTAGCATTGCAATGATGCTAAGATTGTGCAACTTCATCTTTTGCAATAAAATTGCGGAAATCGTGAAAAACTGTGAAATTTAGATGGTAATTTTTGTCTTAAATTTACAGTTTTTAGCGAGAAAAATAGAAACTATTAATAGATAATCGGGTTTTTCCTCCAAGACAAAAGAAGTTGCACAATCTTAGCAACATTGCAATGCTAGTGGTTCCTTTTTGCAAAATGCAATCCAATTTAGAGTTTGAATAAGAGGTACTCGAAGATTTTTTTAAGGTATAGTTTTGATTTTATTGTCAAGATCATGATTTTATTTTGCAGCCGGAATTCCAGGCATGATAAACGGCAGTATAGACCCTTACACTTGGCCAAGATTTTATCATTATTTTGGTGGGGCTTTGATCCAGGGTAGCTTAACCGTACTGAACGCTAAAATGTGGGGATGGTCAACTCTGAAGTTTTTGAACGTCAGGTAGGTGAATCGCTTTTGGTATACTTCAGATGAAGTTTCTTTCAAATTTCCATTCCCTATGAAATACCCCTCCCCCCCTCAAAGATGATCTGATGCGCATAGAGTAAAAGTGCTCGTTCTATTTCAAAGTGGTTTCGATTAGAACTGATTCAATTAAAAAGTGTAATATCTCCAGAACTTTGCTTTCCGGATTGAACATTCATTCCAGTCAGATTTTTCCGAAGTTAGGTACTACTAATTGCGTGATACATGGTGATGAAATTATGATTTTGAGTAGCTTCTCATCTTTTTGAAGCAAAATGTTTAGATAGACAAAAGATATCTCCTATAGCTCATTTATGCAATTCAAAACTGTCAAAAATCGAGATGTGCACTTTTTTAGTTCTACGATCGGGATGATGACAAAGGATGAAGGCACGAAAAGAGAAAATTTTACTGTTGAAACCAACTTTTTTTTAAAGTCTTTAACATTTCAAGTAGAAAAGAACATGGTGGCTAAAAAGTTTGGCAAAAAAGCTTGATTAAGTGTTTTATTTCCAGAACAAATGTGAAGAATCCCCAGAAAATGTTGATTGATGTGGACTTCCGAGTACCGAAAATAGATGTTTTTGGTCAGTTTAAGGCAGAAGGTAAAATGGGTGCCGCCAGGGTTTACGGTGGAGGACCGTTCTGGTTGAACGTGAGTAAGTATCCACCATATTATTCTCTCTCCCCCCCTTCCTCTCTTCTCTTGTTACAGGAGAGGAGTAGTAAAAATATTACAAGAATAAAAGTTGACATACTTTGTCTTATCAATACTTATCATATTTCATAGTATCTTACTTACTTATTGCTTAATTTTTTACTAAAAATGCATCTTCCATATACATATGCAAAATACTTCCTAATTTTGTCGTCTCTTAATGATACAAGAGACAGCACCTTCAATAAGTCGAGTTAAGATAGAGAGAGCCAAACACGCAATTTGGCCTGGAACGGCGCGACTTATTGTTAGAGTGAAATAATAACGAAGACATGAGATGAAAAGGAGAAGCCCTTGGCGCGGCGCGGCGATCGGCATGTAACACATATTAGCGCCTACAAGACTGCGTGAATACTACACGCGTTGCGTCCAACACAGTGCGCTCAACAGCGGTCGCCGTGAAACGCATAGCGCCTACAAGGTTGTCTGAATACTTCACGCATTGCGCCAAATACGGTGCGGTCTGCGCGGCGCGGCGGCGGAAGTTAAAATCATTGATCCACATTTATGTTTGTTCTTTCATAATTTTTTCGTTCATTTCTTATGAATGGAAGGCCTTGTCCACACAGAGATATATGTTTACGGAACTTAACTTTTGCGCAACGTTCCGTGAATTTTTGCTAGTAGTGTTGACAGGGCTTTCCCAAAAAATGTGTTCAACGTGAGTAAATGCGTCTTATGCACCCCTCCCCCTGACACGTTCATTTGATGGTTTTTATCGAGTTTCAAAACGAATGAGAAGGGGGCGGCAAAATACAGGCGGCCCATGGGCGGCAAGTCGGTAAATCCGGCCATGATTAAAAACGTCCAATATGGGTATGATTGTCATTTTTAACCCAATGAAAACCTACCTATACCCTAACAGAATCAAAATCATCTCATAAAAACTCGTCTTAAGCAAAATCAGTGAACTCACAACACTTAAAAATATTTTAAAATTATTTCTGAAATATGTCCAGTTTTACTGGGATGTTTTTCAACTAATGCATGTAGGAATAAAGCATTCATGAGTTCTCGTTGTTCGCAGCTGGAGTGAGTGGTACGTGGAAAGTAATTGGCAGCCGGGAGAAAGGTGCGCCCTACATGGAGATTAAAAGCTTCCGTGGCAATCCCATACTCAGACTCGAGACTTTCAAGCTCAAAGCTCCGGGTGCTGCTCTCGGCAACCAACAGCTCAGTTAGTTATCTTTTTTTCTCGCCTAACTTTTCTCCCTTGAATTTAGCTCATTAATTGTAAGTATGAATGTGGCTTGGTCAACAACGTTATTGTAAAGGGAACGTAATACCCGTTACCTCGCTTCCATTCCTGTATGGAATCAATTTTCCCTCATTTAAACCTTACCGCACGGATATCCATATCCACGGTCTTGACATTTTTAAGCGATTTTCAAAAAAAAAAAAAAAAAAAAAAAAAAAAAAAAAAAAAACTAGCCAAGAGTTGCGGTAAAAACGGGTTATGCGAAAAATAGATTATTTATTCTAGAATATATATTCTACAATATATTGTTTATTCTAAAATATATTCTAAAATATATTATTTATTCTAAAATATATTTTAGAATGTTTGCCTTTAATAATACGGTTTACGATGAGATCCGGCGCGATGATACAGACCATGGTTTCGGGTGGCGTTGCGTGCTTTGCGATTTTTCGATTGACCTGCCATTTAAACCTATGGAAATGGATCGATAATCAGGGCGTTTGCAACGCATATTTTAACAATCGATTCTTTACCATAACTTCAAATGGGGAAATGTCGATAATCGATCATTCACGCCTCGCCACTGATGGTTTTTAAAACTTGCCTATAGCACACATTCCGTCGCTCCTCTGACGTAAGAACTTATCTGATTTTCAAGTCCCAGAAAGCTAGGCTTTATATGTAAAACAGGGCTCATGTGGGCCTAATGAAACAACTTTTAAAATCTCAAAATTTTGTATAAACGGAGTTATAAGCGTTTAAAGTTTCCGAATTTTGTCCGACCTTTTCCATTGGCTCGATCCACTGTGCGGCACGCTTTATCTTCCTCCAGTGCATCATCATGATACCAGAGGTGGTTACACGGATTTCTCATGTCTCGTTTCAGGTAACCTGGTCGAGGCTACTATCAACGGAGCATGGAGAATTTTCCAGGAGGTAGCTGATCCTGCCATCGAACGAGAATGGGGAAACTTCTGCAAAGATAGTCTCAACAGGGTTTTCAAGTCCGTGCCATACGATGAGCTCTTTCCTCTCGATAGGACTCCCGCCAGAAATTCCTCGTCTCGCAACTCGGCATCAAGGATTTTTTAATCCATAGGGAACTGTTTATTATATATTTTATATTTTTATACGAAACCGAGAGAATTTTTTTATAATTTTAACACAAAATGAAAATAAAAATAAAATAAATGAATGCTCCTCGTAACTTTGCTTTTATTCCACATTTTTCTAAGAAATTAAAACCGGTTTGTTGAAACATTTGTAGGTATCGAAATGCTACGTTTTAGGTGGGAGGTTTTGACAGTATGTATATGGGCATTGCTATGAAGAGGCTATTCACCAAAATTCTGAAACTCTTCACCTCTCTTAATTTAAAAATATAAATTTTCGTTTATACTCCTATTTTCAAAATTACCTGTAAAGACGTTAATAGCCTGAGTCGCTGAATGTCTCAAAATTATAATAACTAACTAACTAACTATTATTCGACCCTTCAGATCTCTCAATGATTTAAGATGTTCTCAAAGAGCAATCGGAGCGCGTTAGGCAGAAAGAAACCAAGCCACATCAGCAATTGACAAATTAAATTGGGCGATTTAATTTTTACATGAAAACGGTTGTGTGAATTTTTGGGCAAATAATGAATCTTCTGCGTAGTACAAAGCAAATTTTCATCTAATTTGCGAAGGAATCCGCGCACATACGCTCTCTTGTAAAAAATTGAATTGCCCGATTAAATTTGGCAATAGCTGATGTGGCTTGGTTCCTTTCTGCTAAACGCAGTCAAATCTATTCTTCACTTTCCTTGCTCTGCGGGCAGCATGCGCCTTCCGTTACAAAATTCTGCAAAAATGCATTCACCGATGCTAATTAAACTTATTGCGACAATATCGTCGAGCCTTCGAGTATTGTGTTGGTGTAGAGGATCTTACTAATTCAGGAACAAACGAGCTTGCATTATCATTTTCAAATCCTATCAAGGTCTTAGATGATACGAAAAAACAAGACAATTATTAACTCTTACAGTGCACGTCAATTGTATTTTATTCCCTATTTATATGGCATAGATTAATTAGGTATTCCGAATATAATTGCCAACCCAGCAGTTGACAGAGAATGGGGCGGATGGTGCCGAGATAAATTCAACCGTGTTTTCCTCACAAATCCGTACGATGAGCTTTTCCCGGAGAAGCCAATTCGCAAGACTACGTATTTCTCCTACTCTTTCTTGCGTTTTCAGCTGCATTAAATGCGCTGAATATCCCGAATATTCTTAAAGAGATAAAAAAAATTGAAGCGGCAACTCTTGTCATGGTATGTTATAATGGTCGATTGAAGCCCAGGCAGAGGCAAAAAAAAAAAAAAACCTTTCAAACGCTAAGTTTCCACGTCTACGCACAGTTGACGAATGTATCGTCCCGATAAAACCACACAGTGATGACGTCATCCACCAAAGTTTTGATTTCACTGATTGAACGGAGACTAAAGTTTTCAGAAAACGTTTCGAGACACTATGGTTAGATGTAAGCTAAAAAGTTACAGAAAGAGTGTAGGCACGATGTCACGATTATGGTATAGCGTAAAGTCAGAAAACGGGTGGAGGCACCATGTCACGAATAAGGATTGAACATGTCCGAATTAAGAGCGGGTTTCGGCGACATGTCACGGATATGGATTTCGTTAAACGGAAAAGTTAGATCGAACGGACTGAAACATCTAAAAATATTTAATTCGAGCATAAGAAATAGCGGAATTTGTGGGAGAGCAAGAATTTGAACAAAAGAGTGTTGAAAGACGTATGATCCGCATAGATAAAAAGAATGGAATCGTTACAGAGAGGATAGACTATCGGGAGCACTGAGGTTGGCTGTGCTTGGTGGTGAAAACCGAAGTGAAGTCCCCAAGTAGCAAAAACTGGAGCTCGGCTTTGATCGAAAAAGCTTTATCAGTTAATCCATCTTGTGCCGCTTATTCAATAAAAAATTAGATAAAGAAAGATGCGGTCGACTGATGACAGCAACGAGTGAGTGAAGCTTGTTCGATGCTTGGTTTTGAAAATTCATGGAGAGAGACCGAAAATGTGGGAGAAAGGGAGGTAGAAACAAGACGACGGTTCCAACCATAAGATGTTGGAGAGCGTTCACCGTAGCACCTCGTCAATATGTAATTTGGCCTGTAGCGGCGCGGCGCAGAGAGCAATGATAACGAGGCCTTGAGATGAAAATGAGAGGCCCTCGGCGCGGCGCGGCGGTCGGCATGTAACACATATTAGCGCCTACAAAACCGCATGAATACTTCACGCATAGCGTCAAACAAAGTGCGTTCAGCAGCGGTCGCCGTGTAACGCATAGCGCCTACAAGACTGCATGAATACTTCACATACTTCACGCATTGCGCAAGACAAAGTGCGATCAGCACGGCGCGGCGGTGGAAGTTAAAATTATTGAGCCACATTTATGATTATTCTTTCATAATTTTTTAGCTGATTTCTTATTAATGGAAGGCATTGTCCACACAGAGACAGTCTTACGGAACTTAACTTTCGCGCCAAGTTCCGTGAATTTTTGCTAGTTGTGTTGACAGGGCTTCCGCAAAAAATGTATCCAACACGAGTAAACGCGTCTTATGCATCCCTCTCCCTCCGGCACGTTCACTTGACGGTTTTTATTGATGTGTCAAAACGAATGAGATGGGGGTGGCAAAATACAGGCGGCCCATGGGCGGCAAGTAGGTAAATCCGGCCCTGTCTGAAAGAGTCATTAAATAAAAGTACGTTGCAGAGTAAAACGTAAAGATATTAATTTCTCAAAGACAAGCCTATACAGGCATTACATAAAGTGGACAAAATAGGAGAAAAAAGGTAGAAATGGTACATAAATAAAATTGAGAAACTAGGTATTGCTTCCCGCCACGAAAAATGGCGCCGATTCCCATGGAGCAGTGCGGGTCTTTACCAATGGATACATTAGTAACATACCCAATGCAAAACGACGGGAAAGAGCGTGCCTACACTACTAACGTGGTGAACGCTCAAAACTCTATGAATAAACGCGTTGCGGTGCACGCGACAGCAACTCTCGAATGTTCACACGGTGTTCTTCCTTAGCACGGCAGTATATGGCATAGATTAATTAGGTATTCCGAATATTCGACTACATTTTGCAACTTTGCTTCGCATTGTGCTCTTCTTACCACTTTTTATGTTCTTGATAGAGATACGCCGTTAATTCTGGCCGCCCGTACTGCTTCAGAACTTCTTTTGCAACGTTGTCGTCTCACAATAATTTTGTTTTAAATTTTCCGGAAATCGGAGGAAAATTGCAATCTTTAGGGAAAATCTGACATCTAAGAACCTAATGCTGATTGCGATGGGCGTGGCACGGTTAAGCCAACTAATGTGGTAGCTTGGAGAATTCGCTCAGTTTTCCAGCAACTTTTGAGAAGTGATTTTCCGAGGTGCTGATGGTTTCAACAATAACAAGAATCGGTTAGTCGACCGTGTTACAGTGACAGGTAAGAGCGCACAATGCGAAAGAAACACTTTTTTTCACCTACCCTATTTTCCAAATTTCACCATAGAGATATCCTACTCCATATAATATCTAAAAAGATTGATTGTTCCAAAACTCGAACTTCATTCATGGACTAAAATGTTTCCTATTGTTTATCAATTTTTCCCCAATTGCCTGGAAAGAAAACCTCTGCCAGGTAATAATCAAGGACACGATTTGAACAGATTATTTCAATAAAATTCAATTGGTATCACCAACCTAGAGTTTCGAAAATATCATGTCTAGGCCTAATTGGCCTGAATAAATGTAACGATGATGTAGTAGTGGTACACTGGTACAGTGGTACCATTTACAAAGTACCATTTGTATCATTCACAGAGTACCATGTGCATGTACCAGATTCATCATAGAAACCTGAATACAGATCCTTCGTACCTTTGTTCTCTCCAAGGTTTTATAAGATTCACCGATCATTCATGGTAGGTACTTAGCAGGGCCAGAATTTGCAGCAATCGGACTTGCTTGCATTGCTTTGCGGAACCTTCTTCCACGAGTAATGCGCAATATCATGTTTCACCGATCAATGAAAAGTTCCAATAAATATTTCACTAATCTTGAAAACTTTTCAGGAGGCAGACTTCAGAACAAAATTTTGCTTTCACATAACTGCTCGTTTGCCATAATGGAAACTAAAATGAAGAGCGTGTTGAGCTTTATGGTGCTGTGCTTGCTCTCTCAAGTGCAAGCAGCGCAAGAAGAAGCAAGAAGCATTAAACCTGGCAGATATCGTAAGTATTGGACGTAAAACTTGAACTTACTGAAGGTACGGCAATTAAGACGCGGAATGCCGCCGCGGAATCGTACGCGGCGGACGCAAGGGAAACCTGTTACACGCGTTTCAATGGGAGCGGCAACTAAGGAGCGGAGCGACGCCGCGGCGTCCGCGGCGTCACGGCGCTCCGATCTGTCGAGAACAGATCGGAGCGGAATCCCCCGGAGATTCCGCCTCGTCCGCCGAGGTTTTCGATGATTTTTCATGTCTATGTGCCGAAACGTGGATCGCGGCGGAGAATCCAATGGAAAATTGCGGGCCATCGTGACTTATTGGATTCATGAAAGAAAAACATTTTTTAGCACAATATCAACGCATGGCAATCCTACCTCGTGCCAGGTGCAAATAATACCACACAAATAGGTAAAAGAAACATGACACCTTTTTCCCAGGAAATAAATCTATAAAAGCAAAACGGAATAACTATTTTTTGACTTTTTGGCATCTAAACAATTTATTTAAACGTTGCTTTACACATCTATAGAGAAACCTGATCGACCAATCTTTTTTTGAACATCATGGCTGAAAGTAAAAAACTGGGTGTCTTTGCTTGCAATGTTGCAACTCTCTGCTCAAGCTTTATTCGTTAATTTGAAACTATTGGTAGGAAGCTTATCTTGAACTTTTTGTAAACATTTTATTGCTGTATGTTGGAGTTTTTTTGCCAACGTGCGTTAAAAATTGTTTTGCTCATTCAAAAATACTTTTAGAAATTTTACAAAGGGATATTTTGACTGGTATTCTCGTAAAAAATATTGGAGCTTTTGAAACGTGGTGAATGTTCATTGTATCAAGGCACAACACACCTACACTCGTGATTTATCATCGGATACTGATGACGCGACTGCCGACGGACGCGGCGGAATTTTGGAGGCGATTCCGCTGCTTAGTTGCCGGGCACGGCGGAGCGGAAACTTACTCGACGCCTCGCTCGCTCGGGTCGTCCGCCGCGTCAGATTCCGCGGCGGCATTCCGCGTCTTAATTGCCGTACCTTGACTACTCAAAAATATCGGAAAACAAGATTTGGAAAATAAAAATCAAAACTGACTATTTATATTTAGGTATCAGGATGTAAAGCACATCTAGTGTTACCAAAAATAAATGAAGGCGTAGTGGAAGTATAGATTACCAAAAATAAATGAAGGCGTAGTGGAAATATAGATGCAATGAGTATATGGTCGCCGGCGTTCGGCCGGCGAAGTCATTGAGATTTTGCGCGTAAAACCAGTGGCGTGCTTTGCGATAAATCGATTGATACGCCAGTCAAACCTATGAAAAAAGATCGATTATCAGGGTGTTCGCAGCGAACACCTTGGAAATCGATTCTTTACCATAGCTTCAAATGGCGAGATATCGATAATCGATCATTCACGCCACGCTACTGCGTAAAACGTGTGGGTACTTCTAATCTTTCAAATAACTTGTAAGCTGAGCTAGAGGAGTCTGGATTGCGGGTAACCAACGAAATGAACAGCTTTGAAAGTTTGGAGGAAAATACGGTTTAATATCCCATAGTCTCCGTCTAAAACCAAAGGACAGCATCGTGCTTGCTAGAAATTCGGAGTATTTTTTGCAGAAACAGGCCGTTGTTGTTAAAACATGTACAAATTCTAAAAATTGGTTTAAATTAGAGGAACATTAAGACATAGGTAGCTAACACTGTGTGTGTTGGCAACCAACACTGTGTGTGTGTTAGAAGAGTGCCAAAGTAGGAACAGCGTTTAAATTATACAAAATTAAGCGCACGCGATGAGAAGCAAGTATGCGAGGTAGAAGTTTTTGTTGTCCTCACAGTCAGCGCGTATTCTAGCGTGCCCCCCTTTTTTTAACGGATCTGTATAGTTATACAAAAAAAAAATAAATAAATAAATAAAAAATAAAATAAAAAAAAAATTCAACAGTAACTTTTACGTTTATCTTGCTGATTGTCAACATCGGAAAAAGTCAATCTTTCATTTTTCTTTAATTTTTCAGCAAGGATGGAACGAGCTTGCTACAGGAAAATGCCCACTCCCGAGCTAAATGAGTGCCTCCGCTCTAATTTTCAAGGCCTCGTGCCCCGTATGAGATCTGGTAATGGGTAGACATTTCTCCTTTAAATTACCTAAGTTTCAATCTGCATTAGCTTTATTCCTCTACTTCCATAAGTTACAAAATAACAGTGGAAACTGCTCGAGTATAAAACATTACGATGAACATCAATGTTATCAATGGTGGAAATCGAAAAGTACCTACCTATAAGACTAATTTTTTACCATTTATTAGATTTCATTTTTCTAAGGAAAACTAATGGACCTCATTCGCTGTTTAGATTCGTTCTCCAAGCTGTACAAAATATTCAATGAAACATTCGAACAATGACGCTCATTATTATTTATTTAAAAAACAATTGAAGAGCGAATATTTTGAAACTATGGCATTATGATGAGTTTGGATGGTTTTTTTTTAAATGTTACAATACATACTGCCGCTCCTCTGACGTAAGGGCGTATCTCTATTTTTACGTGAGCTCTGAAAAACATGGAGTTATATGGAGAACAGGACTCACGTGGAAATTGACCTACGTCCTTACATCAGAGCAGCGATGGTGTGGGATGCACTCTGCAGAGGAGGATCTCATATACACACTTGGAAAATTGTTGGAGTTTTTTAGCCAACGTGCGTAGAAAGTTCAGCTTAAAGCTGAAATCTCCTTAAAGAGGGGAAAAGCTCATTCAAGGGAAAATTGTGCTTGAATGAACTTTTTCCCTCTGTAATGAGATTTCAGCTATAAGCTGAACTTTCTACGCACGTTGGCTAAAAAATTCCAACATCCCGTCTTACGACCCGTGCGTTCACCGCAATCGGTTGATTTGGAAAATTGGTTTTTTTCGCGAGGAGGAGATTACGGCAGTAAAAAGAAATTATTTCTTTTCAAAAGCACTCCAAAATTAAAACAAAATGCCATTAGGCTCAAGTTTACTTCAGTGAGTGCGACATTAGAATTATGGCGAATCCAGAAAACATTAATTTCATTGTTATGAGTTAGTTTTTTTTTTTTTTTTAACTTTCGATAGGTTCACCTTGATTTGTGTAAAATCGCGTATATAAATCATGCTGCTTTCAAAGGAAGTATTTTACGTCTAGTTGAATCCTTCCATCCCCTTATCTCCAAATCATGCTCCATCAGGATTTCAAAAGAAATGTGTTGAACTAATTTCTCTCCCCCTCTTCCCTCCTGCCTTTCTCACCCCTTCCCCTCCTTGCACATGTACGAGTATAGTAATTAAAACCTGTAAACATATAATTCTCTCTTTGTCATTCTATCAGGTATCCCAGGTATTTACACGGGTAGTGTTGACCCGCTTTATTGGCCCAAATTCGCCCACTACTTTGGTGGAGCTTTGATTCAAGGAAGTTTGTCCGTCCACGATCTGAGCGTCTGGGGTTTCTCCAATACCAAAATCCAAGCAGTCAGGTTAGTGAAGTAATCCCAATAAGGGCACAGTTTTTGAATGGATTAAACAAATTTAGCCCTGATCGTAAATGAAGGTTAGGTCAAAGTCATGTAATTGATACAATTTTCACGATTCTAGAAAATGGGAAAACGGGACTCCGTTATCTATCAATAATTCACGATCGAGGTCCTATTACATCGTGAACACGCCGATCGATACATCTACTGTTTAATTATTATTAGTGACCGCACAAGGGAAACAAAAATCTTGGTCACAAATAAAATAAAAAAGAGTGTACAAATTAGAAAAAAGAGTGACTGAAAGAGCGTAAAAGACTTTTAATGAAAAATCTTCGAAAATTTATGAACAATCTTGTGTCCCGGTTCCAATTAACAGTACTTATAATAGTATTATGGATCATAGTCCGACTGTAGTCCGATTTATTGCAGCCCGCATAGAATTTTTTATCGTCCTTAAATTCATATCTAATATTTGAGGGGCTTGGAGGAGAAGGCGCATATGTGTAGTTCTTGAAAAATTTGAGATATATAGTAATGATTTCAAGTAAAAGCAGTCCCAATGCATACTCTGTGAAAAATCTTATCCTAAATTAAAATGTTTAAGCATCAAAAAGTCAGTTTGAACTTTCTTTCCGCCACAAGGATCCATGTAATTTCGAAACTTTAAACACATATTCCTCGAAAGAGCAAAAATTGCACTTATACGCCTTGTCCTCCAAGCCCCTCATTTAGCAGTAACAAATCCTAAAAACATCGGGCTATGTTCCAAAATACTATTCTATAGCCCAGGGCCGGATTAAGGGGGTGGCCACATGGGCCGCGACCCATGGCGGCAAATTTAGGGGGCAGCAAATTTTGCAATTTTTTTAAATGTAGGTATAAAAAAAATCGGATTCAGAGCAAAAAATGATCAATGAGAAAAGGGGACAATTTTATCGTTTTTCGGCAATAAAAGAGACAGCGTCTTTAATGAGTCGAGTTAAGAGAGGAACTAAACACGCAATTTAGCCTGGAGCTCAGCGCAGAGAGGAATGATGACGAGGACTTGAGAAGAAAAGTACAAGCCCTCGACACGGCGCGGTGGTCGACATGTAACAAATATTAGCGCCTACAAGACTGCATGAATACTTCACCCATTGCGTCAATCACCGTGCGGTCACTCGGTCAGGAGCGGTTGGCGTGAAACGCGTAGCGCCTACAAGACTGCAGGAATACTTCACGCATTGTGCCAAACACAGTGCGATCAGCCCGGCGCGGCGCGGCGGCGAACGTTAAAAGTATTAAACCACATTTATGTTTGTTCTATCAATCTTTTGGTTCATTTCTTATAAATAGAGAACCTTGTCTGCATAGAGATATGTTTACGGAACTTAACTTTCGCGCAAAGTTCCGTGAAATTTTGCTAGTAGTGTTGACAGGGCTTTCGCAAAAAATGTATCTAACCTGGGTAGGTTAACGCGTCTGATGCACCCCTCCCCCTCCAGCACGTTCACTTCACGGTTTTTATTGATGTTCCAAAACGAATGAGAAGGGGGCGGCAACATACAGGCGGCCCATGGGCGGCAAGTAGGCAAATCCGGCCCTGCTATAGCCAATTTTTCCCGGTAAGATATTTAATTGTTTATTTACAATTCTGCATGTTTTGTCGAAGAATTGTTAGGAATTTTTGGTTTTTGAGTTAAACAAACTTGCCAGAATACGCTTGTCATTGATACCTTTAATATAGACCCGCACCATGAAACAATCTTTTCAGAGAGGCTGGACAAGAAATATTTGACTTACGCTGCAAATTTTGTTTTTAATTTCTTCACATTATACATTTTATGAGATTCTTGACTCTTGAGGGAAATTTCACGAGAAAATCAGTTAAACCACTTCTAGAACCTTTACATTCCGTATTAACATCAACATGAGCCTACAATGTTTCATACTTCGTCCGACTCCTTTCATTGACTTGCTCCGCTGAGCGCCGCGGGTGTAGTAGTGCGTGTCTGGACAGTCGAAACGCCTTCGCTTCCGCGCGTATGCAACCCGGACATCCGGAGAGTTCGAATAGTTGTATCCACACATTTAATGAAATTTTCCTCGACCGGGGGTGGCTACCGCCACTCTTGATAAGGGATAAAGATACAGAGGTAAACAAAATTCATCTCATTAAATTTTCGTGACCAGTGCACATTTTTGAAAAACAGGAATCTTGTTTTATTCTCTCTATGCGAGTTACTGTGTTTTGATTTCAGAGCAAACGTGAAGAACCCACAAAAGATGTTGGTGGAGGTTGACTGGCTCGTTCCCAAGATGGACTTTTTCGGACATTTCAAATTAAATGCCAGAATGGGCACGGACTTTCATGGACATGGGCCTTTCTGGTTAAATTTAAGTGAGAATCTATATAGTTTTCAGTTTTGATCATTTACAGTGAACACAACTCTACACCACGAAACTCAGCACTCGCTTCTAGTTGTTTGAATGGAGGACTCATTGAGATCCAAATCCACCCATGAAGCATTAAATTTTGTTGTTTGCTAAAATTAACAACCTTTAATTCATCAGGAAAGCGTTTAATACGAGTAAATTAATTTAAATGAGTAACCCCTCATACTATGTGCGCTTTTCTTAAGTAAAAATGCCATTAAACTTATTTCGACCGCGTTCAGTAGAAAGGAACCAAGCCGCATCAGCCATTGCTAACTTTGATTGGCAACTTATTGTTTTACATAAAAAACGGTTGTGCGAATTTCAGTGAATTTTCTTCATAGTGCGAAGGAAATTTCTGAAAATTTTCTAAGGATTCCACACAAACGTTCCCTTGTAAAAAATTGAACTGTACGGTTAAATTTGGCGATAGCTGATGTGGCTTGGTTCCTTTCTGCTAAATGCGGTCCCTTTGTCTTTGATATTATTGTAATAAGTAAGCTGTCTTTTCTTGACTTAAACTAAAACTAACGTTCCAGAAGTAATCAGTAATACCAAAGAATATATGTGCTTTGACTTTCTAGAAATTATACTTGACAACATTTGTAACTTTGTGACCTTCCAGAAATGGTACACNCCCCCCCCCCCCCCAAAAAAAAATCGCGTTAACCAAAAAGGAACCGAGTCACATCACAATAAAATTGAGACAAAGAAACAATGGGAAGAAAGAGAGATGTGAAGTTCTATGTAGTTGGACTGCGATTTAGAAGCTAGTTAAACGTCTATTTTCAGATTTAGAATAATTTGTCCTGGACTTTGAATTTTTTTATGAGAAAATGTGCCGGTAACTAAGCTTAAAATTACTCTCAGCTCACCCATTATTCTTCCCTAACTCGGTTCTTTAGACTAGGCCCCACAACTTGAATTTTCCCCCCAAGTCGGCGCCATTTTAGGTAAGATCATGTACGCTTAATATCTTCCAGATGCACTCATTTCACCTAGCAGCTCAATTTTACGTTATACGACGTGAATTATTTCCGTGTTCGTTCCGTCACTGGGCATGATTCTAATCATTCAATTTGTTCCTGACTCTTTTTTTTGCCATCGTAGCCGATGTAGGTGGAACTTGGACCGTGACCGGGGCCAGAGAGAAGGGAGAACCTACAATGGAGATAGTGAGTTTCCGGGGCGCTCCAAAAATAGGAGGTTTCAAGCTACGGGCCAAAGGTGCCGCTTTTGGCAACGACGCATTGAGTGAGTATTTTTGTTCTCACCAAACATTTTTTGTTGACAGATTAAGTTCCAAAATATACACTGAAAATTGAATCATACCTGAAGTTTCTATCATAATTTATAACGCAGTTCGAGAAAAGAAGTTAAAGCGAGAAATCTAAACAAGTATCTACATTATGTACCCACATAACGGCGCACCATAATGTCAGACAATGTTTATTTCTGTTTTAGGAAAACTTATAGCAAAATACGTACTCCCTTTTTTTGCGATTATATTTAAAATATCATTGACTCGCTTTATTGAGCGCCGCTGGTGAGTCGACCAGTGTCTGAGATCAAAACTCCTTCAATCCGTGCGTATGCAACACGGACATCCATGGAGCTCGAATAGTTGCATCCAGGCGTTATACTGAAATTCATGTAGTATCCGTCACATGCAACACTAACTGTAGCTTTAATTGTTTCTCTTTTAGCCTAACTTAATTCCGGCGTTCCATATTGTGCCCATGAAGTAAATCATCACTGATGGTTATTGCAACATTGTCAATGTTCTGAGAAATGTATTATTTCAATGTATTATGACGATTTGAAATCATAGGTTGGTTGCCCTTTTGGGCGTTACTTTTTTGCAAACAATAAAACAAACCTATTAAAAATGTGACCTGAATACCACAAGTTTGTATACCTGTGAAGTGTGATCTGCTGAGGAGGCCAGAAAAGATCCAAATCAGTATGAATATCTCTTGACGTGACCCCATCTGTTACTTTTTTGAAACGGCATCGGCAAAAGCCTGATGAATTTTCGGACTTCCACATATGTCCAGACTCTCCCAACAAGGATACTCTTGGTTCAATAAGAAGATCTAATCTCATTGTAAATTTGGTTGTGATTACAGATGACCTTGTCATTGCGACAATCAACGGAGGATGGAGGCTTTTCCACCAAATTGCCAACCCAGCAGTTGACAGAGAATGGGGTGGATGGTGCCGAGATAAACTCAACCGTGTTTTCCTCACAAATCCGTACGATGAGCTTTTCCCGGAGAAGCCAATTCGCTAGACTACGTATTTCTCCTACTTTTTCTTGTGTTTTCAGCTGCATTAAATGCGCTGAATATCCCGAATATTCATATAGAGATAAAAAAATTAAATCGGCAACTCTTGTCATAGTATTTTATATTGGTCGATTGAAGCCCAAGCAGAAGCAAAAAAAAAAGAAAAAAGAAAAGGATAAAAAAAAAAACCTTTCAAACGCTAAGTTTCCGCGTCCACGCACAGTTGACGAAGGTATCGTCGGCCGATAAGATCACACAGTGATGACGTCATCCACCAAAGTTTTGCATTCTGTGGTTTCTTCAACCTTGGTCTCATTAGTTCGTCGGCAGGCTGTCAAAAGGGCGTAACTGAACATCGAGATGAGCCGGGAAAAGCATTGAATCTTATGGCTAACAGGGCTCATTGGAGAATGCAGCTGTTCATATTTCGAGGAACCAAATCCCTGCAACTAGCAGTAGAGTGATCTCGTTGCTCACCGCCTTATAGTGCCATCAATATGCTGATTCTAACTGTCGTGAGGCCATCTACTTTATTATATTCGCTTTACAATAAGTTATAATTGAATTTCCTCTCTTGTTGTAGCTTTTTGATCCACCTATCTATCAGCTTTAAATAATCGTATCATTATATTATTCAGTATAACATATTATTTCAATGAATTAATAATCATGTTATTATCAATTTTATACTCAAAATACTCTCATGCTGCTCAAAGATGTTGTGATAATATTTTTTTTTTTTTTTTTAAATGAGAATAAATATAGTTTTTGCTTGTCTCCTAAGAGTATGGCTGAATTTTTTTTATTTTCGCCCAAAACATAGTTTTTGAAGCAAAGCCTATGATCAAACATTGAATTTCAACATATGATTTTCATTGAACCATCAGGGTTTCAGGGTCAGGGGCTGAAATTAAAAAATCTCCAAAATATGAATTATGATTTTTTTCTGGGGAATAATCTTTTAACAAGGCAAATGGTCTGGACGGCAATAGGTGGAAAGTTTCCCCTTTTTAAAACTCCAAAATGCACGAGATGTAAAAGAGGATACGTCCCTTGCTATAATTTCCACTCTTTAGAGCCCTATGTAAAATTCGTCTACTATAGATAATTCTTAGTCAAGGAACTTGTTTATACTGTGAATAAGTGCCTTTTATAAGGAATGCAACATTATAAGAGGCACGATAAAATTAAACGTCCAAAATTGTATTTTCACTGTACCATTTCTGCTCATCCCTCCTCTACAGAATTTTTTTCGTAGCTGATTTTGAGAGGCCATTTACGTGATTCATCAGTAGGTACTTTTAAATCTCTTTGTCATGCATTTGAGACCATTTCCTTTGAGTGCCCTCCACTTTAATTTGTGATGTAAAAAAATTAATCGTTCCCTCATCCATTCCTGTACATGGAATTTCTTGAAAATCCTAGTTTCAATTAATTGCTTCCATTGGAATATTGCATGACCAGAAGTTTTAACATTCTCAGACAAAAGCAACTGCGAAGCGTTTTTCTTCAAGAGCACTTTTCTTACAAGACAAATTGTGTGATGGGCATCTTGAGGCGAACAATAATGGACAAGTTTTACTAGACATCTATCATTGAATGAAAACTGTTGACAATTTTCAGTCTTATAATTTTGATATACTTAAGTAATAGAAGATATCAATTTTAAATATAATTTACTTTGCTTTGGTTTTGTAACTAGAATACATTTAAATACGAGCCAAGTCGTAAAATTATAAGTGCGAGCATTTTATTTTGAAGCAAAAGGGTCCTATATTTTCTGTATTTTTAGCAATTTTTTACTGCAATTAATTTAGAGAAAGTTAATAAAATAAAAATCCTGGTTACATCGATAGCACTGTGCGATGAATAATTTTCGCGCTACAACTTAATATGTAACTTTTAAGGATTGGAAGCGCGTTCAAAGAATCCGATTTTCATAAAAAAAAAAAAAAAAAAAAAAAAAAAAAAAAAAAAAAAAATCAAACAATTTCTTCTTAAAAATTCATGAGAATCTTCCTCACTTGTTTAAAAATATTCACAAAAAATTTCAATGAGATATTTCGGTCAGTTTTCTTTGGAAGAATGAAATAAAACAAAACCGGAGGTACTTATCTTTCGACTTCAAGCAGGGGCATTTGATAAACCATCGCTTGGAGAAAACGTTCCCGCTGTAGGCGCGTCTTTAAAAGCCCCAGTTTCGCTGCCGCGGGAAGTTTCACAGGGGTGAAAACCCCCTCGAATCGGGGGCATCGCTCCCCGAAAGGAAACTCACGAACTCAGTGCGCATGACCTTCACCGAGGAACCATCTGAGCTCAGGGACACGGAGCCGACCCGACATTCGGCAGGGCCCGTGCCATGTTTACGTGTCTCAGCTGATCCAAAATGGGTCAGAAGAATTGCGCAATCCCGCCGTGCGTAGACGCAACACCCCCCTCACCCGCGCCCTGCCGCGGAGCGCCGCCCCAACCCCGGAGCTTGGAGTCGGAAGTTCAACCTTGCGATTGCACAATGCATGTTCCCCTCGTTTTCCCTTTGTGTCGGGCAGGAACCAAAACAAACTCCGTTCAGTAGTCCCAGTCCGCGGATTCGAACATTTGGCGCGAATGCGTGTCCGTCATTCTTCCTCTGCTCGTGTTTTTGTTGAGGAATTGTAAGTTACTCTGTGGAAATTAAAATTTCCCGCGGTTGAGCGCGTCGCTTCCCTCTGCGTGAGATTCATATTTAAGGTCCATTAAATGGGTCACTTAAATCAGGTCCTTTCTTTTCCTTTTTCCGAGAATCGCTGAACGCTCGTCGATTCCGTTGTCTGGATTGTGTTTGCCGATTTGGACATTTGATTTTGTTCCCTTTCGTGTGAGTGGATTTTTACGGGGCGGTGTCCCAGATTTTCGGTGATCGAGTATGGTGGACAGTTGTATAAACTGATAAGACTTTAAGTATACGGACAACGTTGCACTGCAATTTAATTTGTTTTGAAGTGTTTTCCTGTGTTGGAAGTGACCCTCATTGACTCGAGGCATTATTTTTAATCATATGCATTGGATCTGTCGAGCTGTTGAGGAATTGCAAATGAATTAGATGTGTAAGTATTTGTGGTCTTATACTTTTATCAATATTGAAAAAAAATGTATGCGCGTTCAAGTTTTTTTTTTCTTGAATGATGATAACTCGCTAAGTTTCCCTTTTTTTTTCCTTCGACATACTAAAAACAGATTAATCGAATCGAGAGTACGATTTTTTATGCCCGATCCACGTTTTTATGACTTTGATGAATATTTTTTTTCACAATATACCTCTGAGATTTGGCAAGTCAAGAACACATTTCAATGTGTACCATATTGTGATACCATTTATTTAAGCTTCTAGGGTTGTCTTATCATTTTTTTTCTTCTCGCGTGTATTACACGGATGAACTACTCCGGTGTTATCCAAATCGTTTACATTCATCATTTCGTCAGTGGGCCATTCTCCCGTGCTGAGGAAGAACATCTTAAGAGCATCCGAGAGTTGCCAAATTGCCTCCTAAAAAATGTTAAATTTTGAGGAAAGTTATGAATATTCCTCCTTGACATTTTCAGGAGCTTTAGGTGAAATTGAGAACAAAATTATCTGAAAAATTGGAAGGAAAATATTCATAAGTGTACCAGGAAATTCAGGTTTTATCAAAGGAAATTTTGCAACACCTGAGGGTTCATTTGGGCTCATATGAAGTATTTCTTTAGCACGGCAGCATTACGACGCATACCTAACACACCAACGCTGCTTGCGCTCCCACCTGAACACTCTACCCCGACTGCTTTCTAAAAGGCTACACGCCAAATCGCCTCCCAACGCATTTTACTTTATCAAAGTAATAAAAATACTTCATCAAACAAAACTTGAATGAGTAAAGGTAATTATAATTTTTTCGCGTAGAGTGAATTTAATCGTTTCAACATAGCAAAAATTATGCAAATTTTTTTTTTTCTTTCTTTCTTTCTTTTTTACCAAGGGCAACAGATTTTAGAGACCAACCTCGCCAGCAATTCAAATGAAGTTTAATATTCTTCCCCTAACGATGACCAAGGTGGCGATACGTGGTTTCACACTGTGTCCATCGCTGTACTCGTGATGGACGCGCGATCAACTATTTGAACATTTCGTCTGATTACAAGTAACTGTTATGTCGAGCAGATTTGAGTGATAAATTCCAAAAAAAACTTTTACACTACGTGAGGATAGAAAATGCGTGGTCTATACTTCTTTACTTTGGCGAACTAAAGTTAAGGGATGATAGGAAAACATTTTAAATGAGGAGGGTGCACACAAAAAGCGGCGATTCTCTACTCCAAACAAACCTCGAAAACACTGCAACGTAAATCCAGCAAGGCGCCGGCATACAACTATTTTAACTTGTGAGTTGGTTTGTGGCCTATGTGGCCAAATTGAAGGCGCAATGAGGAGGTCGCACGGAGCGACGCACGACCACTCTCACCTGCAAGTCCTGAAACTGCCGCATTTTGATAAATACTTTTTCGCGTGATAATGACTAACACATCATGAGAATTGGTCAAAATAAGTTGATTTTGCTGAACAGAATGCTCGAAAATTTTGTCAGCATTACAGGTGAACCCCAGCGAAGCGTTACGAAAATAACCTTTACGATATGAGAGATTAGAGGGAGAGAGATGTATCTTGGTTTTTTTTTTTTTGTCCAAGTTTAACAAAAAAGCATTGAGTAGCATTTTGAAAAAGGAAAAAAAAGTTTCAGGAGTAGTTTTGAATGCAACCATTTGTAAATGGTCTCTTGTGAAAAGTTTACAGTCGAGACAAAATGTTTTTGGGCGCGAGAATGTTCGATGAATTTCGTCGAACCCCGTTCTTAACGTTGAGTCTTACAAAGGCATACATTTTCAAACCTCTTTTTCTCGATTTGATCTTGATGGGACTTGATGCGTTTCTCATAAACTCTGTCCACTTATACGAAAAAAAAAAAAAAAAAAAAAAAAAAAAACCCTATTTAAATTTGAATTAACAATCAAAGGAACTACTCGGATATGGACGGGATCTGCCGGCCACATAGTTCCTTTTGATTCAATTAATTGTCGCCTAGTTTCTTTCAGCATAGCACAATGGATCACTGCACATGCTGTATGTAAAAGAACTATTGTTAAATCGATGGCCTGAAAGCAGAATCACGTATCTCTGTGTGCGACGTTACAGACTTCCAGTTATACTTTATTTTTTCTTCGGAAAACTAGTCAGCGCAATGCGCCGAGAACGTCCTTGATTCCCTGGTAAAAATTGGCGATAGGAGCTGCGTTTCAAAATACCATAGGAGTTCTTATAGCCGACTAAAGAAGGCTATTGAAAATCATATAGCTGACTGTAGAAAGCGGAGCAAATCATATAGCCGGGCTATACGAAGCTATAAAAAGTATACAGTCGGGCTATAGTTCCTATCGCCAGGCTTTACACGTTATCGCCATTAGCTATGAAAGGCTAAAAGAAATTGTGTAGAAATTCGTGTGCGTTGGAAATCATTACTTAAGTTTGATACGGAACTACCTTAATATTTACAAAACACATATTATATTTTCCTTTAAAACATTTTTTTTTCATCAATTAAAATGAGAATAGTCCATACAGAGTGTGCAAACATTTCAAAATCATGAGTTGAAAAACGCTGACTTCGCGAGATTAAATATTGGAGCCCAACACAAAGCGGAGCGGCGACGCACTGGCGCCTACAAACCTAACAG